AGAAAAGAAAAGAAAAGAAAAGAAAAAAAGAAAAGAAAAGAAAAGAAAAGAAGAAAAGAAAAGAAAGAGGGAAGGGAGGGAGGGAGGGAGGGAAGAGAGAGAGAGAGAGAAAGAAAAAAATAACCTGGGAAGTATGGGGAAACTCCACTTTTTCCAGCCTAAAGGATGGTGGGGAAAGAAAGAGAAAAACAGTGTGGAGGAGGAAAGGCGGTGCAAAGGTTCTCCTCTTGTACATCCTTCAAACTTCTCCTGCTCGCAGTTCCCGGGAAGACTGACCCGAGTGTAAACACAGGGAGCCCCCGGGGCAGAGAGATACCTGTCCTGCAGCCTTGCCGACTCCCTCCCTCAACCACAAATGGTGCCTCTGCTGTAGCTGAAAGAAGGGGCCCCAGTTTTGCTTCTTTGGTTCTTCTTGGCTTTCTGCATGGTTTGAAGTTCTCCAGATATTTGCATGTGTCCTGAAGGAAAGATGTGGAAAGTGGCTGAGGGTGCTGGCTGTCAAGATTCTAGCAGGACCTGCAGCTAGAGGAATCTTTTTTTTTTTTTTTTTTTGAGACAGAGTCTTGCTCTGTTGCCCAGGCTGAGGTACAATGGCAAAATCTCAGCTCACAGCAGCCTCCGCCTCCCAGGTTCCAGCAATTCTCCTGCCTCAGCTTCCCAGGTAGCTGGAATTACAGGCATGCGCCACCACGCTGGGTGAATGTTTGTATTTTTAGTAGAGAAGGGGTTTCATCATATTGGCCAGGCTGGTTTCAGACTCCTGACCTCAGGTGATCCGCCTGCCTCAGCCTCCCAAAGTGCTGAGATTACAGGCGTGAGCCCCTGTGCCCAGCCTAAATATCCATATTTAACAGGTTATAGGAGAAGCTACAAAATACTCATGAAGGGGGATCATGTGTGTGCGTGATAAGCAAACATGCTATATACATCTCGTGTTCACTTTGGGGTGGAGACTTAGCATTAGAATGCAGTAAAATTAGGTCTATACGTCAAAAGGGGAAACAAAGACACTCTGTGTGCAGCCTCCACAGACCCACCAGATCCAGCGCATGGTTGGTGGTGATTCATCAGGAAGGAATGCTTTGTAAACCAGTCAGCTGCCATGTCAAAATCTCCATACGGGAGGGGGTCCAGCCTTGTCATCAAGAGGTTGATTGAAGTCGGTGGAGGAATCTTTTATTCTTTTTTTTTTTTCCAAGGCTTGTTTCCATTTCACGCTTGGAGAAAAAAAAAAGTCTGGTGACAGTGAGGAAGGGGCGCACTGAGGTGTGACTGACCTTCCATCTTTCGTGGCTGGAAACTTAGTTTTTGTAAAAAGTTTTTCAAAAGTTCTTGGCCAAGAAGAATGTGTTCAGTTGATCAGAGGGGTTAGGATTTTACTTTTTTTTTTTTTTGAGACAAGTCTCTGTCACCTAGACTGGAATGCAGTGGCGCGTTCACTGCAGCCTCTGCCTCCTGGGCTCAAGCAATTCTTCTGCCCCAGCCTTCCAAATAGACACAGGGTTTCGCCATATTGCCCAGGCTGGTCTCGAACTCCTGACCTCAAGTGGTCCTCCCACCTCGGCCTCCCAAAGCTATGGGATTACAGGCATGAGCCACGGTGCCTGGCCAGATCTTACTTTAATTTCACAAGGGCAATGACTAGCAGTATTAAGTGCAAGACAGCCATAGGTGTGGGGGCTGAGCCTTGACGGATGGGCGGGATTTTGGACAGGTAGGTAGGAAAGGCTATGTCAGGTGCAGAGAACTGCCTGAGCAAAGGAATGGGGGTGAGGATGTGCCTATGGTGTTTCAGGGAACAGTGGGAGAAAGCAAGGAACAGAGGGCCACTGTGGACGAGAATGGCCCACGCTGCATCCGTGGTTAGCATGACCCGGGAGCTCATCTGTGAATGAGCTTAGAAAAGGCAGCCTCTCTACAGGCCTGGACTTGCCTTCTGAAAGCTCTGCAAACCAAAAGCCACAGAATGTGGCCTCAGAAGAAAGTCAGTTGGTCTTTCCATGGGTCAAGAAACCGAAAGTGGCCGTCTGATAGCTGCAGAGCAGTAAACAGCTCTAGCATCACTTAGGGAAACCCTGATTATCCTTTGGGAGGTAAGCCTGGGGCCTTAGAAACACTAATGGCCATTCCTGTTGTAATCAAGATAAGAAAACCAGGGACTTCAAACAAAAGCTGACTAGCACCCTGTAAGGAGAGCGCTTACTTTCTGGTGTCTGTTCATTCCATGAAGACTACGTACTGGCTTGAGCTCTGAGAACTGGCCTGGTTCATGTCTCATGTCGCTTCCTGTGGCCAAGCTGCTCATCCAGGCAGAACATCTTGCTGAGAGGCCACAGAATCAGGAAGGATATTTATTAGTGGGCTCTGATGCATGGCACAGCCTGCTTCCCCCACCCGACTCTGTTTTTAATTAATTAGCCATGATGGGCACCCAATCTCTCCCCTCTGACTCTGGCCTCCCACTCTGGGATGCACCCCAGGTGTCCTGTTTGCACCTGCTGTGCCAGCGTGTCTCAGGGGAGTGCCGGTTTGAGAAGCCCCTGTCCAATTCTTCCCCCACGTTGCGCAGAGATTGTGGATGCAAGACTCGAAGCTTTCAAGAGCAGGAAGAGGAGAGTTTGGGCAGAATCACAGACAAAGGCAGCCGGGACAAGCCCAGGAGCTGCAAGGGGGTTCCCACACTGGCTCTATATGAGGGTCTTGCCTTCACCCCCAAATAAAAAGGCAATGACAAAAAGCTGGTAAGAGATCAGTAACCATTTTAGATGAATAATGTCAATTAACATTTGGAGAGTATGATGGGCTACATTGGAGACTACGCTTTTGAAGACGTATTTAAGTTATTATAAAATGAGGCTTTTAGGATGGGCCCTATCCAACGGTTTGGCCCTATAAGAAGAGGAAATGTGGACACACAGAGATACCCAGGGCACAGGGATCAACCACATGAAAACACGGAGGGAAAGATCTGTCTGCAAGCCAAGCAGAGAGGCTGCAGAAGAAACCAAACCTGCCAACACTGTGAGCTTGGATTCCAGCCTCCTGAACAGGGAGGAAATCAATTTCTGTTGTCATGGAAAAGCCACTCAGTTTATGGCGTTTTGTTACAGCAGGCATAGCAAATGAATAACAGAGTCACAAATGTAGGGGAGAAATAAACAAGTGTTTATTAGGACTTAGGGAATGTGTATTGGAACTCTGTGAAGGCTTGTTGTAATAACTTCACCCTCTAAAGGGTATCTGGGACTTCCAAGTCTGAAAGTCCCCAGAGCAGGGAAACCTGGCCCGTTCCCCGCCTTGTGTAACTTTCAAAAACTAGACTCACTTCACTGGCCTAACTCTGTCATCTCAGAGCTGTCTTCAGAGTCTAAAAAACAGCATTTTTTTTTTTTTAAAACCCAAGGTGGGCACAGAGAGTTCTGCTCCTTCCTTTTTCATTCCAAATGCTCCAAAACGCAGCTCAGGTTTCCTCTCCTTCAGGAAGTGGAAGAGAACTGATGCTCTCTGACCTGGGACTTTTATTAGAGGCATTCAAGCCAGAGGGACTCCATCTTGAATTGCTGGGTAAAATGAGGCTGACACCTGTTGGGCTGCATCCCTAGGAGATGAGGCATTCTTAGTCACAGGATGAGATAGGGGATCACCAGACACAGGTCACAAATCCCCGCTGATAAAGCGGGATGTAGTAAAAAAGCCGGTCAGAATACGCCAAATCTAAGATAGCAACGAAAGTGACCGCTGGTGGTCTTCACTGAGCATTATATGCTCATTATAATACATTAGCATGCTAAAAGACACTTCCACCAGTGCCATGACAATTTACAAATGCCATAGAAACTCCCGAAGTTACCCTACATGGATCCAAAAGGAAGAGAGACCTAAGAGAGTCTAAAAGGAAGAGAAATCCTCAGTTTCAGGAATTCCCCATCCCTTTCACAGAAAACTCATCAATAATCCACTCCTTATTTAGCATATAATCAAGAAATAACCATAAAAATAGCCAACCTGGGCCAGGCGCAGTGGTTTACGCCTGTAATCCCACACTTTGGGAGGCCAAGGCTGGCAGATCATTTGAGGCCGGGAGTTCAAGAACAGCCTGGCCAATATGGTGAAACCCCATCTCTACCAAAAATACAAAAATTAGCCTGGCATGGTGGCGCAAACTTGTAATCCTAAACACTTGGGAAACTGAGGCAGGAGAATCATTTGATCCAGGGAGGATGACCTTGCAGTAAGCCGAGATTGTGCCACTGCACTCCAGCCTGGGCAACAGAATGAGACTTTGTCTCAAAAAAAAAAAAAAAAAAAAAAGCCAACCAGCAGTCCTTGGGGCTGCTCTGCCTGAGTAGCCATTCTTTTATTTCTTTACTTTCTTAACAACTTCTTTCACTTTAATCTGTGGACTCACTCTGCATTCTTTCTTGTGCAAGATCCAAGAACCCCGTCTTGGGGTCTGGACTGGGACTCCTTTCTGGTAACTTTCCTTGTTATTTCTGTAAGCAGGGATCCTAGCAAGCCCCATCTACGCACTGGGAATAGTGGGAGAATACTTCACCTCCCAGGAAGCCATTTGCAGACTAGCATGTGCACAGAGGTAGGAATGTCCTCTGGGAAGATATCTTGACTGCTATGCAGTGGGACTCACACAGACACGCCTGACAGATTTGAGGGCCACAGGTGGGAAAGTATTTGAGGGCCACTGGTGGGGAGGATATTGACCCTAAGAAACTGTGACCTTGGCTGAGCCACCAGGCCTGAGGCCTGCAGGGGAGAACTTGTTTGGGTTTACTGTTGTAACTATCAGAGGATCTTTTATTTTTTTCTTTTCTTTTCTTTTCTTTTCCTTTCCCTTTTTTTTTTTTTTTTTTTTTTTTTCAATAGGGTCTCACTCTGTCACCCAGGCTGGAGTGCAATGACACAGTCACAGCTCACTGCAGCCTCAACCTCCCAGGCTCAAGCTATCCTCCCACCTCAGCCTCCCAATTAACTGGGACTACAGGCATGCTCCACCATGTCTGGCTAATTTTTTGTAGAGATGGGGGTCTCACGATATTGCCCAGGCTGGTCTTGAACTCCTGACCTCAAGTGATCCACCCTCCCTGGCCTCCCAAAGTAATGGGATTACAGGTGTGCACCACTGCGCCCAGCCCAGAAGATCTTTTCTTGAGCCTGCCATTCTAGAAACATTTCGAAATTGAAAGAACTGTTTCACTAAATTGTGACTCTCTGGGGCCCTACCGGACTATGGAGTTCACTAATTGAGTGTAAATGAGGGAGAGAATGTTTTCTATTCTCATTCCCCTTCTCAAAGCAACGGCTATAAGTCTTGAACCTGGCTTAGTACACTACATACACTGCTTGGTGAGTAATAGGAACACGATAGATACTTGCTCTGTAAATAAATGAGTCAAGCTGTCCCGCATCGTGAAGCTCAAGTCCACTGCTACTTACTGGTGAATCTCCACTGCTGTTCCCCAGGTGACCAGCCTGAGTCCATCGGTAGGTGCTGAGCCTGAACTTAAAGTGATGCCCTGGCAGAGCTTTGAGGACCAGCAGCTGGTGGTGTGATGAGGAGCGTGCCATAACACTAAGCAACATCAGGATTTTTTTTTCTTTTGAGATGGAGTTTTGCTCTTGTTGCCCGGTCTGGAGTACAGTGGCGTGACCTTGGCTTACTGCAACCTTAGCCTCCTGGGTTCAAGCGATTATCCTGCCTCAGCCTCCTGGGTAGCTGGGATTACAGGCACGCACCACAACGCCCAGCTAATTTTTTTGTATTTTTAGTAAGGACAGGGTTGTATCATGTTGGCCAGGCTGATCTCGAACTTCAGACCTCAGGTAATCTACCCGCCTCAGCCTCCCAAAGTGCTGGGATTACAGGTGTAAGCCACCGCGCCAGGCCAACATCAGGATGATTTATAAGCCCTCTTCTGGGAAGGGAATTTCCTCATGAGCGCAGGATCCACTGCAAATCAGGTAGCAATATTAACATGACCACAACTGTATTCTCAGGGTATTGAAATCTGAGAGCTTAAGCTTCTATTTCCCTTAATTCTTATAATGCCACTGCAAGTTGAGGTACACATTTCCCCCTTTTATGGATGAATAAACTACTGTTACAATAATACTGTGGCACAAGCAACTATAAAATCTCAGAGTCACATTTATCTTTCACTCAGACACCTGTAGATTGGCTGTGATTTAGCTAATCTAAGCTGGATTCAGCTAGGCTGGGTTCCAGGCTCTGCAGCAGGTCCAGTGTATAGAGCACCCTTGACATAAGTAACTCCATGTTAGAAAAATACTTCAACTTACATTTCAAAAGGCTTCAAGCCAGCTGGGCTCAGATGTTTTCCGAATCAACAGAGATAACACCCAACAAGATAAGAGCATAACCCTTTACTATCAATCCTCAGCAGAGGACTACAGAGCCGTAACATTAGCAGAACATCACCAGCTGGGAACATCCGTCTTGATGGATTCTGTCTTGCCATCACTCATTATCAGCACCTGGCATCTGCTGCTGAAGACTCTGCCCAAAGTAAGGTCTGTTCTTTGCAAGACATTGACAGCTGTTGGGATCAGGCCAGGACATTCTCCTTGTCCACGTAACTCTCCTTGGACTGGTTCAGTAACCCCTTCTCCTGTCTTTTTCTCTTCATGTTAAACGTTACTATGCTTGGTGTGAAATATTAACCTATAATGTTTATATATTGATTAAGCATACTCTTATTTATTATTATTTATGGTTTGCGATATTGACTGACTTGTGGAGCAGCTTGAGCCTGTGTGCCCACGGCTCTGACTACTGAGTAAACAGGTAACACTAAAGAGAATTGCTGGCCAGGCACGGTGGCTCATGTCTGCAGTTTCAGCATTTTGAGATGCTGAGGCAGGAGGATTGCTTGTGTCCAGGAGTTGGAGACCAGCCTGAGTAACATAGCTCCTATCTCAAAAAAAAAAAAAAAAAAAAAAAAATCTGCTTTGGAACTCCGTATATCTTGTGGCTTTTATGTTTTATGATCAAAATGGCATCAGTAAAAGTCTTACCTTGTGGAAGGTTACAGATGTGTGTGGACCTGGTCGTGTCTGACATTGCACAACTCACAGCATTCACACTTGCCCCATGTATTTTATTCTTCTGGAATCAGTGGGCAACTGAGGCATGCTCATCTTCAGTGGGATCAGAGTATGCCACACAAAAAAGTGCACTTGGCATAGGATGATTTTTGTCGTTGTTGTTTGAGATGGAGTTTCACTCTTGTTGCCCAGGCTGGGGTGCAGTGGTGTGATCTCGGCTCACTGCGACCTCCGCCTCCTGGGTTCAAGCAATTATCCTGCCTCAGCCTCCTGAGTAACGGGGATTATAGGCACGCGCCACCACGCCCAGGCTAAATTTGTACTTTTAGAAGAGACAGGGTTTCACCATGTTGGTCAGGCTGGTCTCGAACTCCTGACCTCAGGTGATTGGCCCGCCTTGGCCTCCCAAAGTGCTGGGATTACAGGCATGAGCTACTGCACCCAGCCAGACATAAGGATGATTAAGAGTCAGTAGTTGCTAAAGAAGTCTTACTCTCCCCTTTTCTGCCTAAAAGCAGGATATAAATTTCTCTTATGAAACTGACCTCCTCTTTTGTACCAAGAGAAAGAGAGGGACTCTTACCATCAGAGATAGCACCTAAATGAGTCCGCATAAAAAACTTTGCTAAAATAACCCATCTTCCATTACTTCCCGTGCATTTCCTATCACTCTTTTCCCCATGATTCATCATTCCTGAAAGCCCAAAGCCCCTTTCCTTTGTTAAAATGGTATATAAGGCCCTGAGTCTAACCACTTGAGTTTTACTTTTTTTCTGTAAACTCATGTGCATATAAACATTAATAAAAAGTGTATGCCTTTTCTCCCGTTAGCCTGTCCTTTATTACTTTAATTCGCAGACCCCCAGGAACAAGATATAACAAGGTAGAGTAAAAGTGTGTCCTCTCCGGCAATCTCATGGCAAAAAGGCTCGAAAG